TCACAAACTTCATTGTTCACGGGGGTTTTCTGCTGACCGGACGCTGGAGTTAATAATTAGCACATAATTAAAATCTGCAGTAACTAAAAAGCCAATGAAGACAAAGTGCTGAGGATGCGCGCAACTGCACGGTACGAAGGCAACACAAACAACACTGAAGGGGACTATTAAATATTTTATTAATATGTAGAAAATGTATTAAAAAAGGAACTATATAATACATGTTTCAGTCAAACTAGAGCAAAGGTTATATAACAATAAATCAGTAGTTTTGAACACAGCTTTTCAAGTCAAACTTCATTTTTTTTTTTTTGACATTTACAGCATTAAAACGTAAATAAAATCCAGTAAAATTTATTAAAATAAAATATAAATCTGTAAGTGTTTTAAATTACTGTTAGGTTGTTATAAATAGGAGTTCATTGTTCACTCAGACAGAAGGAAAAAACAAAACAAAAACTAACAGTACATTGAGTAACGGTCACAGACGGGGAACAATTTTCAGTGCTTTTGACAAATAATAAAATATACAACCTAAAACAAAGAGAAACAGTAGGAGACGACAAATAAATAATTCAAAATATAACTTACACTTGATGTCTTGACATAATAAACATTGTAACTTTTGAGGCCATTTTTACTGCCGAAAAAACATGAAACGGCATGAATCTGTCAACGCTGGTGCTCCCTGAAGGCGATCTATTTTACTAGAGCCAAAAACGTGTTTTAGTGTGGCAAGAGACGCACCCTGGAAATAATAACGTTCCCTCAGCGCCAAAGCTATAAAAACGAACAAACACGGTCCTTAAAGGAGACATACACACTTTTTTTTGTACTGCTTTAGATCATGTTTTTGTGGTTTTTAGAGTAGTTCATGCATGTCTGGGTTATTTCGTCATGTATCTCCTGGCTCCTCTGACCACCACCACAAAAGAGAGGTTTTGCTGTTCGGAATCTGTGATACATGGATGGTTCGGCCGCTTTGCACAGTATTTTTGGCGCAATTGAAAAAAAATCTGCGGTGGAGCGGTGACTTGTTGCATAAAGGAGCAGAAGACATGTCAAACTTGTGTGATTAAAGCTCGGGAATCTATTTTTTTTGTCTTATAGATGATACAGATGATATTTATTTCCCCAACAGAAAGCCTTGTAAAAGTTACATGTTGTGAACAAATCAGACCACGACACAATCTTTATGTTCTTAGAAAACATGTTTTTTTTCAGACTTGTAAGAACGAGTCACTATTTAACCCTTTGGACTGAGTGAGATGGTCCTCTCTTTTTTTTTTTTTTTTTTTTACTTTAATGGAATGGGGTCATGTGCTTCAGGCCCTCTGCTTCCAGCCAATGGGAGAGCTGATTTGGAGGAGTTTCACTTGGAGATGGGCGGGGCTAACCACATTCAAAAACGTCCTGATCGTTTACAATAAATGTCCAATTAACCTTTTTAGAAAATGTGTGAACTCGAACTTTGATCCAGTTTGTGACGATAAGATGATCTAAAGATGAAAGTGAAAGCTAATGATAGAACCAAAATGCTTTGCGAGCCGGGAGCCATTTAAATGGATTCTATATGCATTTGCGACTATAAAAATGTCTTATTCTCTGACAATGTTCAAATCCAGGCTAAAACGTACATTTTATTTAATATCCTAAGATTATTTATGATGTTAAGTATGTGGACTTGTTTTAGTGATAACATTATTTCAGATTAATATTGAGATTTCATGAGGACTAAATATAAAAAAATGGTCCAGGAGTGTCAATAGTAATCATAAGCAGCAGACAACAGCGTGCTATGTCTTGTTTAATTGAATAAGGGGAGGAACATGGAAAAGTCCCCATACCCCACCATGCATCACGTGGGAGATAGATTGCCGGGGAAGCGTCACTTTGACACGGAAACATTAATCAGCCTTGGGAAAGGTCGCCCCGCTCAGACACGTTTGTTCATTGTTTACTTTTTCACTTGCATCTGTTTTGTTTTGCCTTTGTTGGCAATTTTACCCTTTCCACATCGGTCCAGAGAAGTCATTTATCAGCCAAGCCACTTTATGTTAAGAAGCGACACAGGCTGCCGTTAAATACTGCGTAAATTAATCATGTGACTTGATAAAAACAATATTGGAGATGGTTTTGTATTTAGTTAATGCTGAGGTTAATGGAAAGTATATTGTGTATGTAAATACTCGTCACAAACCAAGTCTGGTTTAAATTGGATTGGAATTCTTAATCGAGATGTTGGTATTTTTCACTTAATACATGTATTTTCTTTATTCACTGGTTTTTAAGACATTACTGACTAAGCTTGAATTAACCCTTTGGGCACCAGAGTAGCAGGATGCTTTGAGCCCATGACCAAAGAGCTCAAATCAAAGGTTATCCTCATTTTCTCTTGAATTTTTATTTAATTTAATTTATATACATTTGTTGTTTTTATTAGTGCTCCACCGCTGACTTTTTTTGTTGCAGATATAACTTTGGAGAGCGCTTTGGCGGCTGTTGGGTCAATACAAGACTTTTTTTTTAACCACAATGACAAAACGCTCTTACTCTAGAAAATTCTCTGAAATATCTTGTCGACTTCATCAATATATAATTATAATTTTGGGAGTTTTTCAGTTGCGGGGGATGATTCTGGACATCTTTGCATCATTTGGAACTTAATGAAGAATCCTCTATCATTTTAAATCCTCTATAAGAGAAGATAAAGACACACATTATGGATCTCACAATGGAGAAATCAAGTTTATCTTACCTTGAGGAATTAAAATGATTGAGGGTTTTTCATAAACTTTCAAATCAATGTACCATAAATATCTAGTTTTATTATTTTAAGTGTTTAGCATCCTCTCACTGGCGGCACGGTGGCTGAGTGGATAGCTCTCAGCAAGTTGGTCCTGGGTTCAAATCCCAGTCGGAAGAGGGCCTTTCTGAGTGGAGTTTGCATGTTCTCCCCGTGTCTGTGTAGGTTTCCTCCGGGTGCTCCGGTTTCCCCTACCACTAGAAACATGCACAATAGGTATGACTGTAAATGAGAGAGTGAATGGATGGTGATTGGGGGCTAATGTCCAGTGTGTTCGGGCGACTCTCTTCCGTCATCACCGTGTGTGGAATGATTGGAACAATATCTGAACTCTGAACATTGTAAAGCGCTTTGGGTGACCTTGGTCTGTAGAATGCGCTATATAAATAAACATAATTACTTACTATGAAAACAGTTTTTGTTTTGTTGCGGTGGTTGCTTTTGGAAACAGTAAATACATCACCAGACTCAGCACAAACGAGAATGAATGAGTATCTGAAGGAGTATGTGAATGAGTATCTGAAGTTAAGGGAGCACCAGGAAGTAACAAATCCCGCTAAAGACATAATAAAACCGAAACCTTCTGCTGGTTACAATGTCGTCACTAACAAATGTACAGTTTGTTTCACATAGATAGATAATAAATAAAACACAAAAATCACAGTGGCTGCTCAGGTGAACACACAACAATCTTCACAGTTTCAAAAGTGCTTTTCAAAAATCTAACTCGTCGTCATGGTGACACATCCAATATTCAATGCACGATTCAATACTACTCCCATCCTTCCCAGCCAGAAAACCCGGTTTATTCTGACGCTGTTGTGGCTCATTGTTAGACCAAAGAAAGTGGGCTGGAAATAGTAACGGGCACTAAACGCATTGCGCTTGAAGGCCACGCAGCCGATCACAGCAGCGGAGAAAAGAACACCGCCGCATGTTTGTGCGAGGCTTAAACAGATCTATTTCATGTTCGGATTCTTTGTTACATTTGGGCTAAGACTAGATTAACAGCATGACTTTATTTTGGAGTTTGCACCCACTCGTGGACATGATTAACGGCTATAGTCCTAAAAGGCGAGACTTCATTATTAGAAGAAAATGACCATATTTCAAACAGCAGGCCAAGTCTATAAAGCAGATGTTGCTTAAATGTCACCATTACTGCAGGCGTCGCGCAGAGAGCTTAGGAAAACGCACATTGTCAGTGGAGGAGACTAAATAATGACTGTTCTCCATGATCGCCTTAAACACATGAAGAAACTGAAGCCGGTTTCTCCTTTTTGTGCAAATGTCGCGTCAAACTTGCGCTGCCATCTTCTCATTTCCGCTCTGTTTGGCAGTTCATCTTTCGCACATTTTTTCCAAACAGCTATAAAATGTTTGGAAAATGCTTTGCCAATAGTAAACCACAATAGAGCGATTGAGTTGTCTCTGAGCTCACACGAGACAAGAAAAGAAAACATTCTGTCCAATAATCAGTAAAAATATGTAACAAAACTAAAACATCACAGTTTTTAAATAACACATAACAACAAATGCTGACAGCGAGAGACAGAAATTATACGTATCATTTTGTTGCTGGTGCACTGCTTTCTGAGACATTTGGTAATGACTAAATTATAAGTATTTATTTGTAATAATAACATAAACATAGCATCAAAACAGGGGATTGAAATAGAGTTAAATCAAATAGTAGAATATTGTCACAATTGCAGTTATAAAAATATAGATATCTTACAGAGTTTTAAGGGCATGTACAGTCTGTTTTTGTTAAAAGCGTTTCAATTTAAAATAAAATACTTCCTCATAAAGAGGGTGTTTTTCGGAGAACTTGTCCTCTCTACAAAGGGAAAGGCCATTCACAGACGTAAAAAGGAGAGAAAGCTGTGGGTTTGCCTTTCCAGTTTTACAGCAAAAAGAACCATTGTCATTGAAATTATTCATAAATTACATACATTGTCTATGGGCAGGACAGCAGGGGCAGACAGCTAAGGCTGCAGAGAGGCTGTGCAGGGCGGACCACGTCTCATGCTGTTAAACAATGCTTTGTTAGAGGCTTTCACACTTTCAAATGTAGCCGGTTTGTGACAAATGTTAAAATATTAGTAGCTTATGTTTTTCTTGCAAATATATGAAATCCTGGGTTGCACATGGTCCGACCTGCACATGTTCGTCACTCCGGCCGTGGGTGAGTTTACTCGGCCGACCGCCTCCTCTTGCTGCTGATGCTGCGGAAGTTGTACGGCCTTATCTTCATCTCCACAAAAGGAATGGAGAACTCGTGGCCTTTCCAGTGGTACCAGTTAATGCCCTGCAGAGAACAGCCACATTTCTCATCCACAAACAGAACAGCATTTCCACAAATATAACAGTCTTTTAATGTATTGAGAAGAGCATGTCGAAGTTACATGAATAATAGCTAGAATATTTTCAATTGCAGTTTTGCTTGAGAGCTGAAACCATGGTAATGCCATAACTCATATCTGACTCTTTCTCTGCCTGCAGCTCCTTCTCAGTTCCTGTCCTCAAAAAGCACCAAAGTGGTGAAGCCGGTGATGCCTGACAGACTGTGTCTATCGTAGCCCTCCTCAGCACCAGCACCAGAGGCATGTGGCAAATGCAGCCTGTTCTTTTCAATTAACAACACTGATCCATTATAGGAGAGTATCCCATATCACATATAACCTAAACCTACAACATGATAGAGATTCACATAATAATCACAATAATTAACCTTTGGAACAGACTAACATACAGTAAGTGCTAATATAATTTTAAACCCGATTCCATTTCAATAAAAAAAACATGTTTTAAATGAATCAACTAAAGAAAATAGGAAAACCTATCTTTTCAAAGCAATGTACATTTGTTGATTAAATGAACTGCTGTTGAACTCTCACTTTGATGATTGCCTAGACTTAAAGTGTGTCAAATATTATGCCACAGTACTACAGTTTACTTTGTAAAACACTGCAATTTAGGCTTTGGGAAAGTGCACATAATACTGCAGTTTAGATTTTCTGAAGTGCAAGATTGCGGGGTGCTCTGTTTTGACGTCCTGTTACTAACTGTTTTCTACGGTCCGTGAGGTTCTGATGGGGCTTTTACCTGTGTCTATTTTTGGTCTGGTTAATGTTTATTGTCTTCTGTGGTTTGTGCAAATGTATGTGTGTGAAGCATGTGAACCCCTGTCCAAAGACAAATTCCTCGTATGGGAGACAATAAAGGAGTATTTTATCTTATCTTATCTTACAACCAGCAAATATCACAAATCCAGTTGTAATTAGCCACTCCACAAATATTTTAAGTTTTGTATTTTAACAATTTAGTACGCAACTTTCTGGAGTGATGGTAAATTACATGACCGCATCCATGAAAATAATAAGTAAAAAACACAGAACTTTCTAGGTTGAAATAAGTATACATATTGTTAAAGACTATGGTCAAAGGAAACGGTATGATGTTGGTTTGGGCCAGTACAAGCCCACTCACAGTTAGAACACATGTTTTCATACATTTACAAATATTCATTAAAAAACCTATTACATGAGGCCAAACAAGACTCATGTTCATTAAACTATTTGTTCATATGATTCCATTGTTGTAAGCTAAGAGTAAAACCCCCACACACGCCTCAGAGTAAATGGGACTTACCTGGCTGTGTCTGGACTCCCCGTATTTGCCGTTGAGGTTGGCGCGGTGGCAGTTCTTGTACCACCAGGCCCCTTTGTAGGACAAGGCACAGTTCGTGACAGCAATATCGTTGTCTCTGTCTTTCGTGGAGAAAGGCCGGCCCTGGTGGTAGCTCAGAGAGTCCCCTGCGATAAAAGACACAATTATAAAGTCCGAAGAGGGAGTCAACATTTGCCAAGAGCCCCTGTGAATAATAGTGTGTGATGAGAGATTTGAAAAAGACGGGAGAGGATCCTACAGCAGAACGTGTTTAGGCTGAGAGAATTAGAACGATAAACATGACAGGTCATTTGTGCATAAGGACATGTTGACGGAGGAGAGAACTCTGGGGGAGAAGATGGAGGCAGATGGCAGGGCGATGATGGCGATAACACTATTTGTGGTGAGAATCTATACATAGCACTCAATTCTGTCAAGTAGTAACTAACAGTAGACAGATTTTATACACAGTCCGTATGTGGGTACAAATATACAGTGAGGATGGGTACCTGCAGTGCCGTTGTACTCTCCGATCCTGAGCTTGTAGAGGTTTCTGGCGTCTCCGATAGAGAATTTGTCATAGTTTGCGAAGACCGACTCTTGTCCATCCTTCATGTCGATTCGCAGCTCATACCGGCCCTGAGCGGAAATCTTCTGGATGTTGTCCAAGCCTGCACACAAACAGAAACACTCACACACGCTGCTTTACAGATACATTTCCAAGAGGCTGTAAATAGCACCATCACTGCTGTAGTGATTTCATATCCTTTAAACTGCACCTGTCAATGCTTTCTTCAGCATCAAGAGACCACATCCCCGGACTTGAATGATTTTTTTTGCTCCCTAAGCTGCTGTTTCAAGGTGGGAGCCACAGTTTCAGATGTATGCAGCTCAAATGTTGAACGGTCTTCCAGCTTTGACTCCGGTAATGTTCAAAATTCAGGTTGATATCAGTTGTGTTTAGCAGCGGAAAGATTTTATCGACACTCTTTTTCTCTAAAATTTGGCGAGATATTACGATCAGTATGTTAAATTGATTCTTTATTGTTTAATCAAATATGAAATTGCAGTTTACATTAACTAATACTAATGTTTTCCCTTTAACTTAAGATCAAAATACAGAAACATACATGATTTAAGTTGCAAAAGCAGTAATTATGCACAAAATTATAATGAAATACTTAGCTTGTATGCTAGTTGCTTACAATATATTTACTGGTTCACTTTGGGCTTACATTTATTTGAGAAATACATTTAAACACAGCAGGAGGAACGGGGATGTTTTGGTTTATAGTTTTAAAATTCACTGACTTGTAATCTTCATAGTTTGATCTAAAACACAATTTCATTTCCTTTCTTTTATTTGTATTATTTCTCAGAGCCATGTAAGATTATTGGGCCTTAAAAGCAGACAAGCTGTTAGCAGACTGTAGCTTAAGAGCTTTAGTTTTTGTCAGATTTTTAGCCGTTTCTTACGTTCTGCAGAATGCCAGACATTTGCATTGCGGCTTTTAAATGAAACCTCTCTTTTGTGTCGTAAATACTTGACACTCAATTTAGTCGATTGCACGGCTTCTCTCCGAAATGCCACAAACAACATTTTTCCGTGAGTCATGTATTTTGACTTTATCTTTGTGGCAGCAGATACAAGTTATTTGAACACAGGTTTGATAAGGCGCAGCTCCCTGTGTGGACCACCGTTCACTATCAGATTACAACGAGCGCCGTTTCTGCTCAACCTTCGATACAGAAATATAGCACAACCCCGGAAAATTAAACGCTACGAATCCGATAAGAGGAGGAAGCAAAGAAATCATTTTGCTGTAAGATGACAGCGAAGTTAGTTATACAATGTAAAAGGTTGTCGGCTTGGATTAATCTAAAGGTTGTTTTGCCTGGATGATTATACACTTTGCAGTTCAACTTTCCTTTTACACAAGAAACAATAATTTAGTTAGTTAGTTAGTTAGTTTATTTTTTCTTCGGTCAATATGTACACCCGACCTCGGGTCACACGGATACATGGCTCACATTTACTTTTTACAACAAGAAAATAAAAATAAAATGAAAACAAAAAAAGAACCAAAATGTGTCCATAAAGGACCTTGTGCGAAACAATACCTGACCGAAAGGGTTTAGGCTGAAGTCGAAACTTATACTGCCTAACCCCTAATACAATGTGAAAATACGTCCAAAGATGACAAATTATACAGTTTCTCATACACTAACGACGGCAACATGAAGCACCAAAAACTTGCACTTCAACAAATCAAAATTATGTTATACATGATCAAGATTGTAAATGACACAACATACAGTTTCTCATATACCAACGATGGTAACATGAGGCACCAAAAAAATTGCACTTCAACAAATCAAAATTATGTTATACATGATCAAAGTTATAGGTGACACAATATACAGATTCTCATATACCAACGATGGTAACATGAAGCACAAAACATGACCTCCCATAAACACGAGTTATTAAGCATAGTCCAATTCAATTGTGCTATACTTCTCCATAATATTTGACTTATACTTTTTTTTGAATGTTTTAATAGTTCTTGAGCCCTTAAGTTGAACAGATAGACTGTTCCATAGATCAACTCCTTTGACTGATACACATCTCCTCTTAGTATTACTCTTTGCTCTGGGTTTCTGAAGCAGATCAGTTCCTCTGAGGCTGTAGCTACATTCTCTAGTATGAAACATCTTTTGTAAACAGTGAGGAAGCATGAAGTTGTGAGCCTTGTATAACACAGCTGCAGTGTAAACATCAACAAGATCATACAATTTTAGAATATTATGTCTAATAAAAATAGTGGATTTGTTGGGGCAAGGTATTCGGCATGACTGATCACTCTAATGGCTTTCTTTTGTAAGATAAAAATAGGTTTTATATTAGTTTTGTAGGTATTCCCCCATATTTCCACACAGTAGCTGAGGTATGGAAGGATGAGGGAATTGTACAGTATATATAAAGCATTTTGATTTACAGAAGTTCTAATTTTACACAGTATAGCAATGAGTTTAGAAATTTTAGTCTTTAGAGTGTTTATATGCACTTTCCAGTTTAACTTATGATCAATATTGATTCCTAAAAACTTTGTTTCATACACCCTTTCAATGTCTACCTCCCCCATACTGATTTTACCAGGGGTCTTTATTATTTCCCTTTTTCCAAAGATAATATATTTAGTTTTATGCAGATTTATGGAAAGTTTGTTTACATCAAACCATGTTTTTAATATCTTGAGTTCACTTCCTACTGTATTTAGAAGCAGCCCAAGATCTTTTCCAGAACAATACAGACTAGTATCATCAGCAAATAAGATGCATTGTGATTTATTAAGAACTTCACAGATTTCATTTATGTACAAAATAAATAATTTGGGTCCTAATACGGAGCCCTGAGGAACACCGTGGGTTATTTTAGCTTCCATTGAGCTGATATTATTGATTTTGACATACTGACTTCTATCACTTAAATAACTTTTTAGCCAAGTGTGCGCTAAGCCCCGAACCCCATACCTTTCCAATTTATTTAAAAGCAATGAATGATCTATTGTGTCAAAAGCCTTGCTTAGGTCTATGAAGACTCCAACAGCATACTCACTGTTCTCAAAAGATGTAGCTATGTTTTCCACTAGTTCCATGACAGCCATTGAGGTGGACCTATTGGATCTGAAACCGTACTGATGTTCACTCAACAAGTTATGCTTGTCTACAAAACAATCAAGTCGTTTGACGAATAGTTTTTCCAGTATTTTTGAAAACTGTGAGAGTATAGAGATTGGTCTATAATTTGTTAACTGCTGCCTGTCACCGTTTTTTAAATATGGGTATAACTTTGGCAGTTTTCATTTTACTTGGAAAAATACCCGTTAGAAACGACTGATTACATATATACACAAGAGGCTTGACAATATAATTACTGATCTCTTTCACTAGACACATGTCCATGTCAGATCCATCTGTTGATCTTTTAGCACTAAAGGAATTTACAATTTCAATAATTTCTCTCTCACTGACACTTCCAATGAAAAGTGAATTTGCATTATTTGTTGTAATTCTTTCATCCATTTCATTCACATTGTTTGGTCTCACAATTTCATTGGCTAACTTTGGCCCAACACTGACAAAGAAGCTGTTAAATGCATTTACAATATCCTTTTTTTCACTGATAACTGAATCATTTACTGTGAAATAATTTGGATATTCTTCCTTTTTTTTCCCGTTTCTGATAATGCCATTCAATACCTTCCAGGTACCTTTGATATTACGCTTGTTCTGCTCCAGAACAAGCCAAATCCAAAAATTTGACTATTTAAAGTGCCTTGCGAAAGTATTCGGCCCCCTTGAACCTTTCAACATTTCGCCACATTTCAGGCTTCAAACATAAAGATATAAAATTTAAATTTTTTGTCAAGAATCAACAACAAGTGGGACACAATCGTGAAGTGGAACAAAATTTATTGGATAATTTAAACTTTTTTAACAAAACAAAAACTGAAAAGTGGGGCGTGCAATATTATTCGGCCCCTTTACTTTCAGTGCAGCAAACTCACTCCAGAAGTTCAGTGAGGATCTCTGAATGATCCAATGTTGTCCTAAATGACTGATGATGATAAATAGAATGTACGTGTGTGTAATCAAGTCTCTGTATAAATGCACCTGCTCTTTGATAGTCTCAGGGTTCTGTTTAAAGCGCAGAGAGAACCATGAAGACAAAGGAACACACCAGGCAGGTCCGAGATACTGTTGTGGAGAAGTTTAAAGCCGGATTTGGATACAAAAAGATTTCCCAAGCTTTAAACATCTCAAGGAGCACTGTGCAAGCAATTATATTGAAATGGAAGGAGTATCAGACCACTGCAAATCTACCAAGACCCGGCCGTCCCTCCAAACTTTCATCTCAAACAAGGAGAAGATTGATCAGAGATGCAGCCAAGAGGCCCATGATCACTCTGGATGAACTGCAGATAACTACAGCTGAGGTGGGAGAGTCTGTCCATAGGACAACAATCAGTCGTGCACTGCACAAATCTGGCCTTTATGGAAGAGTGGCAAGAAGAAAGCCATTTCTCAAAGATATCCATAAAAAGTCTGGTTTAAAGTTTGCCACAAGCCACCTGGGAGACACACCAAACATGTGGAAGAAGGTGCTTTGGTCAGATGAAACCAAAATCGAACTTTTTGGCCACAATGCAAAACGATATGTTTGGCGTAAAAGCAACACAGCTCATCACCCTAAACACACCATCCCCACTGTCAAACATGGTGGTGGCAGCATCATGGTTTGGGCCTGCTTTTCTTCAGCAGGGACAGGGAAGATGGCGAAAATTGATGGGAAGATGGATGGAGCCAAATACAGGACCATTCTGGAAGAAAACCTGTTGGAGTCTGCAAAAGACCTGAGACTGGGACAGAGATTTATCTTCCAACAGGACAATGATCCAAAACATAAAGCCAAATCTACAATGGAATGGTTCACAAATAGACGTATCCAGGTGTTAGAATGGCCAAGTCAAAGTCCAGACCTGAATCGAGAATCTGTGGAAAGAGCTGAAGACTGCTGTTCACAAACGCTCTCCATCCAACCTCACTGAGCTCGAGCTGTTTTGCAAGGAAGAATGGGCAATAATTCAAGTCTCTCGATGTGCAAAACTGATAGAGACATACCCCAAGCGACTTGCAGCTGTAATTGCAGCAAAAGGTGGCGCTACAAAGTATTAGCGCAAGGGGGCAGAATAATATTGCACCCCCACTTTTCAGTTTTTTATTTGTTAAAAAAGTTTAAATTATCCAATAAATTTCGTTCCACTTCACGATTGTGTCCCACTTCTTATTGATTCTTGACAAAAAATTTAATTTTTATATCTTTATGTTTGAAGCCTGAAATGTGGCGAAATGTTGAAAGGTTCAAGGGGGCCGAATACTTTTGTATATGGAGGATATTCTGCTTCCGGGTGGATCATCAAGACTATTGGTTCTCCCAATTGTCAATCATTCTGGTGATACGTGCTCGTCAAAACAAGACCAGAGAGTTTTGTTCAAAAAGTGGAGAGAGCGATTCTTTCCTAAAATTTGGGAAAATCCTCCTATATACCTTTAACGATTAATATATATTTAAGCACTAATATTATCCATAAATGAGGAATGTAAATGAATGTAGTAATAGAAATATTACATAATGTTTTTGTCTATTCAAAATTATGATAAGACAATTAACTTTATCATTTTAGAATGCAAAATATCTTGAGTATAAAATATAAGGTGAAACAAGTATCAAAAGTGAAAAATCAGAATGAATTTAGTTTTTTGAAAATGAGCATAATTTCAGCTGAGAAATTGTCTATACCATAAATTATGGGTAATTATTTTGTTTCATAAGGCTGAAAACTGGAAGGTTGAGTGTTACTGTATGTCACTGAGACAGAAGCTTTTAGACGACCATGGGGCGGAGTAACGTGTTCCAAAAGTTCTTGATGTTCACATGAATGGATAAAAAAACATTTAGTATATGTCTCCTATAAACTATACAGAGCAAAATTTTAATAAAATCAATAACATATCTATTGCAAGAAGCAGGTAAAAGCGGGTCACCACCAGGACGATTGACGAATGCACCTCAAACAAAAACCAGTCAACAATCCATACTAAAATTTCTGACTTTATGTTCAGCAAGTAATTCCAAGTCTCCTGTTTTCTTAATGTTTTTGCTCGTGGCGTTTTAGCTGCTCTTCTGTGAAAACGCTTTTTGGGAATGTTTTGCCAACACAGGCGCATTTGTTCACTCGTTCTACTGTGTCACTGCGCCGAGCCGACAAAGTATTAGATGTGAAACAAGCCAGGGTCACTGAACAGGAAAAATACATTGCCCTAGAGCCGCTATAAAACCGGCCATTCCCCAAACTGAAGCAGATAATTGTGCAGCTTAATTTCCATATTCTTTACTGCAGCCGCCCGACAGTTAAGTGGCTCTTCTTGTTCAGTCCGATGAGACGGGATGATATTGATGTTTATGGTTTTGTGCTGGCCGCCCGCATCGCTGTACTGTGTGTGATTAGCTAAATGTCTAATAGCGCCCGGGGCTCTGACAGTGACCCCTGTGTAGAGAGAGAGAGAGAGAGAGAGAGAGAGAGAGAGAGAGAGAGAGAGAGAGAGAGAGAGAGAGTGGGCTGGACACACTTCATCTTCAGTGACCATCTGCGTGACGTTCACTTGTGCTTTGTGTGTAAAGACCGCACAGATCTTTCAAACGGACACACCGCAGGCGATAAGGGCGCGGTAAAAGGCAAGAACCAAGACTATATACCAGCTGGTGCCTAATGTTACGTAATAGAGAAAGTATAGAAGTGTGATGTCATCTACGGGCTATTGAAGCGCACAGAAAAATACTTTTCACTCTCTGAATCCAGTCGCACCATCAACATCTATATTTCCAATGTCATAATTAATGTACTGTATTTCTCACATGAGGTGTCCTACAATTCAATCAATCGAATCATTATTATGTGTTTTTTTTTTCAAACTTGCCTATTTATTTAACATGAAACAACAGAACACAAAAAAGACAGAAATACACCGTTTTTAAAAGGGTATTTTCAATTGTTCTGTGTTTTTACCCCTCACACAGAAAACACAACACATGGGTCCAAACCCTCTCTGACCCTACACCCGTCTCCCTCTATTGGCTCTGTGTTCCGTCTTGTTATTCCTCAAGAAGTACACTGAGCAAAATATTCTACCAGACCATGCTGAATAAATAAAATAGACTACTACTACTGCTACTACTGCTACTGCTACTACTGCTACTACTACAACTACTGCTAATGCTACAACTACTACTACTACTACTACTGCTACTGCTACTACTACTACTGCTACTACTGCTACTGCTTCTACTACTGCTACTAATACTACTACTGCTACTACTGCTTCTACTACTACTACTACTGCTACTTCTACTAATTCTACTACTGCTACTACTACTACTTCTACTACTGCTACTAATACTACTACTGCTACTGCTATTACTACTGCTACTACTACTGCTACTGCTACTGCTACTGCGACTGCTACTACTACTACTACTGCTACCGCTACTACTACTGCTACTGCTACTACTACTGCTACTGCTACGGCTGCTGCTGCTACTATAGTGTTGCTATAGAATAATCGTGACCAGAACATGTTGTGTGTGGCATATATAGTTCCTGACATAGAATTGTTGATCATCCAAACAAAATGATATTGAATGTAAGCAACAATCTAAATGGTTTGTTTGTGAAACTCTTTTCAAGAGGAAAAACAGTTTGCTTTTGACCTAGATAAGTAAGCCATTTGCCATTTAACGCGCCCTGATCTCTCCGGTAAAAATAGCAAAGCAAAACGTTGTGAAAGGAGTTTTGGCGGTGATTCTATTTGCAGTGCTCTTCCAAGTTATTTTTCACGACAACTTCCCCCCGCTGTGAACTGTTTCTGCGTCAAATTTGCCAGAAACAAGTATTATCACAAGTATTCAAAAAGAGACCACCAGAAGAGCTGCCAACACGCACATTTCCTCCATTGTGAATGAGTTAAGGATTTGAATGGCTTCTTGTGGCTATGTACACGCCTCGGTCTTACAGGTCAACTGGCTTTGCGGTGACATTTGTGCCTCTCACTGATGTTCCGAGCTTCCCGCTGGCATGTTATCTGTAATCTCAGGCTGCAGTAAAGGCTTTCAGAGAGTGCAGTGCAGAGACTCTCGGTGCCACCCCGAGGTTACATTAGCTGCTTTTAAACGCTGAAAGTGAAGAGCACAGTGGAGGCAGCACACGGAGCGGATCAGGGCCTCAGCTCGGTCGGGTGAGAGATTTTTGCAAAGTGAATATTCAACTGAGTTTTACCTTTTGCAGTTCAATAAAAAAGACAGACTGGCCTTTGCAGCAATAGAATGTGTTTAAACTGAAAGACGAAGAATACAGTCCCCCTTCAAGGCTGTTTCGATCGCTGCTTTTTTTCCTTGTTTAACTTTGGTTCTCATTCAAAGTATTATCTTTTCTCTACACTTATCTAAGTGGTGTATAAAAGGCACTGATTGTGTCTAACAAATGATTATGGTCAATTACAAGTGCAGAATTTCTTGCCTTGTTAAAGAGCAAGAAGCAAAACATCTACCACTTCTATTCCTGGTTCATGATAGAACTGAAAAAACACCTTATAATTATAATTAACTTTTCACACATTTCAAGCTTACTGCCAGAAATGTTCCTATTGCTCCAGATTAGACTTCAAATAAACTATCACTTCTCATTTGACATTGATTCCAAGCAAAAAAGCAAATCAGTTTTGTTCAATTTTGCTTTATAAACTAAATAACTCTTGGCACAAGCCGTGTGTGTTGATGGAGAATCAATACAGATTTACTTCACACTCATTTACATTTGTGAAAATACGACCACCATCTAATTCTGCACTGGTAGTTCATTCCTGTAAACCCAATTCAAACACTCTTTTTTTGCACCCTAATTTATGATATGAAATATTCATGTAACATTTCTCTTTAATCATTTCTACCAAACAACAATAAACTGGCACATGAAAAAACATGAGTCATTTGCACATTTTCTAATGAATATAATTATAGTTTCATAATGAGATTTGGGGAAGAAAGGCTTTGCAGCAGTCCATCAAAAGAACCGTTATGTGTTTTGTTTTTGAATCGGTGTGGCACTAAAAACAATTACTTCTGAGGCGAGCTTTCACACAACCCAGTAATGAATGAATCTGAGAAGCTTTGTGAAGTCAAGTAGAGGAGGGTGAAATGAGCAAAGAGAGGATGTTTGAAAAGCATGGCTCTCCATCTTAATCAACAACTACTGACGTGAAAAATGCTGTGAACCACGGACATATTTCACCCCTCCTTTGAATATTTATATCATTTTAATGGGAATGCCCTTCTCAGAATGAAGGTGATAGGAAGCTAAACTGTTGAAGGAGAAATATCTCCTCAAAATGCTCAGTAAGACATTGGAAATGTTTACAATGCAACTGTGGCAATGATTATATGAAACAAAACTCCTGATAAATCAAACATATTACCAAGCCAAAACTCGTCCTCCAGATTTCCAAAACCGGCGCGGTAATCGTTCCACTTTCTGGAGAAGTCAGTCAGCCCGTTCTGTCGCCGCTGAAACACCTAAAAACAAAATAACATAAATAACACGGAATCTTGCATGTGTATCCTTTGAAACAAAACTCATGTGGTGTCTGCAGCTGTTCAAGAATGTGTCCCCGTTTAAAATACACACTGGTCTTCGAAGTGATGAGCAATAATTTCAAGCAATGCATCGCTGCTTACAACATTTTACTAATGCGTGGTGCAGGTGGTTTAAGTATTTTAGCTTCAAACAAACTGGATTTCAACCAACAAACTTGCAAACTGGCTACTGTCTGATTGAACTATTGTCTGAACCAAAAATACACCACACAGAAAGACGAGGTGAAATCAAACCCAAGATCGTTTTGCCATGAAGCACAAGCTCTACCCCAGCGTCCCAGCCTTAGGTCATGTAGAATTAAAGTCCCACCATACCAGAAAAGTAATACTAGCAAATGTCTTACAATCCAGCCGCCGTCGTCCGTGGTCATGTCGCAGTACACCTGCACGCCTTGACTGGGGTCTCTGTTGATGTAGATGGTGTACACTCCACTCAGCGCCTCTCCATTGAGCAGGTGCTGGGCACAGTTCTGAGGCGTAGCAAACAAGCGGCTCCCTGGAGAGGAGACGAGAAATGTTGACAGAACGTGCTTTTTGAAGATTTCTCCTTCAACTCACCAAGGGCCAAGTGAAGAACTGTGTAAACTCTAAAGAAACAGACTTTTGATCCGCTGTTTCCTTTCCTCAGTGTATTTAGTGGTGTTGGGGATGTGTCTAAACTATGTCATAACTTACCGCTCGGAGGACAGGAAAGCTCAGTATTACTCAGTGTAGTAGTTAATCGCACATAAAACATCTAACCTATTGTTGAGATAAGAGAGCCTTTCTGTGTCCCAGTGTTTTATAGATGATTGAGTTCCCCACAAATTTGCAATCAAACCTAATATTATGTCTTGCCAAGACCAGGAAAACAAGTGAGCAGAATTCCAGCTGCTGCATCTGCCATTAAGGTAAATGAATGGATACCCGTGTCAAAATGTGGCATGTTTATGTTACTTCCCGGTGATTAGCGGCTTTGTAACAGCGCCTCTAACTCTTGTTTGACAAAATACAAACAAAAGACATTAAAGATTCAAGCGCATTGTTTAGTGAGTGCCACCCTGCAGCTGCGGCTTAATGGAAGTCTCTCTCAGTTGTCCGCAGGGAGAGGATGTACAAATTGAGTCTGGCTTCGCAGATATGTCCTTATGCGCCTCGCTTGAAAAATAAATAAGGTCACAATGTTTGGGTTCATTTGTTTTCCTGAGTGCCGATGTATAAGTTTAGATTCAGATTCAGTTTCTTTACCAGTTGCAGTAGAGCCACATTGGAAAAAAAGCTGTGCAAGACGGACCCAGTGTGATCCAGACAGAGCAGATAGCACACACCACAGCTCTCTCTCGTCCCTGTTTATTGTACCTGTAGTGAATGTGGTGGACATGACTGCGCTCGTATCCAGCGCCCGGGCCGCCTGAAGCTTCACCGTGTACTCTGTGGTCTCTGCCAGGCCCTCCAGGCGAATCCACGTGTCCTCAGAGTCCAGGATCAGCTCCTGTGGGGACCAGAGCAGCACGGCTCAGAACACCAACTCGATACCTTTTTTATTTATTTATTGTGATTGTGAAGATATAGACATACAATACAAGTGCAGATATACAAACAAATACAGATATAACGAGACAGACAAGATACTGTGTGTGTGTGTGTATTATTTTAGCAATTTGATGCATCCACCCATCACCCTCAATGCACCAACTCAATGCCAACGTGATGTCACTACTGGAATGAATAAATAGGCCTTAAAAGAACCGCAACAATAATGATTACTAGTTAAAAAAAATAGAGAAAATTAAATTAGAAAATAAAAAACAGTTTGATGAAGGAGTGCTGCAGTCCATATTTTTTTCTTATTAATTTGTACATGATAAAGAATGAAGCAGGCAAGATTTGTTTTCTGCTTTCCTCTCCTGTTTATTTGTGTGACAGGACTACAATTATTTGAAACGCAATTGTAATATGCTGTGTATTATAATTGAAATTGTAATAAATAATAAATATTGTTTGTATGTTTTGTGTTTTGTGGACCAGAGGCAGTTTTGCACCACTTTCCCTGTTTATTAAGGCTCTGTACAGTAATTCAAATAATGCTGCTTGACAAATGGGTGCTCTGTCTGTGTCGGTACAGCCTTGATCTTTCAGCGGGGGCTTCAGGCAAAGTGGGGTTAAGTGTCTTGCCCAAGGACACAACGACAGCAGACATCAGCGGGAGTTGATGGAGAAAGTCTTGTGGTGGGCTCGAACCCACGACCTTCAGGCACAAAAGGCCAATGATCTACCAATTGAGCCATCATCACCCTTATGAAAGGCAAATCACTTTTTATTTTTTTATATTTTTTTATATATCAGATCAGATATAGGTTTATTCTTTCATGTATTAAAGAAAATAAATATAATGGATAATGGACCCAAAGCCTTTATTTTTTATTGAATTGTATTGTGCCGTTAATAAATATAAATATATCAAATTGAAAGCCCGTAGTATCGAGATTCAGCATCGCATCGACAGACTCTGAAGGAAACCCAGCCCTAGAAGTTCCACACAGCACAACGACCCAGATTTAAAAACTTCTCCAGGTGTAATTTCCCGATTCCCAAAATGAAATGTTTTTAGACTGTTAAAACAAAGTAGGAACCCTGGAATGTTATTTATACACTTTAATTTATTCAACTCTGTGTCTGGATGTTTGGACCTTTTTCCAAGGCATTTCTGGCAGACCCTCACCTTATTTCAAACATAATTTTCTGCCAGTGGAGCAGCACGAAATGTAAGCCAAAAATATCATTCTGCACAAGGATGATGTTTAAAGTAGGCTGAAAATGCAGAGGAAAAAACTCTCTCAAGACTCAATATTCAGTTCAAATACAGTCAGGAATGTTGCATTATTTAAGTTTTATCTGGTGTTTAATGTATGAATGAGTTAATGAATTATCCAAGAGTAGAATCAGCGACTAGTAGGATATTTATTGTTTCAGTACATTGTGGTCGTGTAAAAAGGCTCAGACTGAAAGTTAGAATTCAGCTCTGGGGAAAACATTCATCTTTAACATTCCAGCGTAGTGCAAAATCAATCTTTCAAAGCCCAAACCCTGCGAACACTTTGTTTTGAGTCATTTACTTCTCTAAATATTTCTGAATAATAACAAGCACTTTCCCCACTGCAATGTTTTTGAATCGTAAGCCGTCTATAGCTGAACGTTTGGAGCCAACATATGGACAATTTTGATAATGTCCTCCAATTATGTGATGCAGCTATACAGCACACCACTCTACATAAGAAAAACCCGGAGACGTCCCCACAGCGGGAGATCTCAATGTTACAGGACATTAGCAAGAGCACGCAAAATACAATATAAGTATCTGCTATGCTTCTTAGATAGGAGTAAATGCTTCAATATCAATGTATCTATCAATAATGTATAATTGTGACATTCAGTGGTCATTCTGAAATGGCAGTATTGTACATGATTGCAGTATTTACCATTTACATATGTATTTATCTAACCAGGAAAGTGCCATTTGGATTAAAGAACCAATTTTTCAAGGGAGTCCAGGACAGGAAATAATATACAGTTACATACAAGAAAAAAAACGATAATAATAATGTACAGATGTGATGACAGATGTGCGGACTCAGGAGTTCTCATTGTACAGCCTGACAGCAGAACTGCAGAACCTCTTCTTCACACAGCGAGGGTGTAAAAGTCTTTCCACTCATATGAACCATTGTTTGGTAAATCATTGCTCACCTTTACTGAATCCCAACTTTAAAGATATATGAATGTACCATCTGTATCAGTGTTTGTGTGCCCAGAGAAAGGATCCATTATAATCTAATTGGTCCAAATAATGTGAAAAGAAAACAATGTGAGAAGATTAGAACATTTTATTGTGCTTGTTTGATTTTCTACGTGATACTGTACACTTTGATGATAATTACTTTGCTTTCTCATTAAAAGCTCAGTTTCAGCTGGTGGTGTGCCACGGCTCAAAAAGGTTGGGGAACACTGGTTACATTTTTACTCATTTTGTTTCCTTTACAGCATATTGAGTGTCCATGTTTAGAATTGTCCTATAATAACGTCTTTTTTAATATTCAACCAGGAATAAAGACATTTTATTTTCAAGTTTTACGACTAATTATTGTAAGTAGAATTGTTATAGAAGAGTAAAGCAGACGCTGAGCCTGAAACCACAGGACATGTGCTTCTCAAAGACACAGACATTAGTTTTTACTTCAAAGAGTTCAAAGAGATCGGGATTAGATGGAGAGGATTTTAGAGAGAAGTTTGAGGAAAAAATACATTTTACCTTTTTAGAAGCCAATCAATATACAAATGACACTTGGAAAATTAGAATATTTGACCAAAAGTTCATTTATTTCTGTAATTCAACTTAAAATGTGAAACCAATAAATGTTATAGACTCGTTACTCGTTAAGTGACAAGTGTCCGGCCTTTTTTGGGGTTTTTACAATATGCAAATTATAACATTATAACAAATAATGGCTTGATATATCTTAATTTGAGTGTACTGAGTCTATCATATATAGGTTTTCTGTAAATAAGTAAGCAAATTAACTTTTGAACAGTAACAATAATAATAATGAACAATAATTTTCCAAGTTTACCAGTATACAGTAGGTCTATGTTGGAACTTTATTAAGACTGCAAATGTGCAAAAACATAGAGAGTACAGCAGATATGTATCTCTCCTTGTGTGAACAGATTTTCGGGGCATATTTTGGGTAAACTTGAACCGCGGCAGTGCTTCTTCAAAACTAAGCACTGACAAACTCAAGGTGGTGAGTGGGAGGCTGGGGACCTAAGACAGCTATCAAAAAGATAAAAGACTTCTGCTGGGCGAAAGTAGTGATGCTAAATACAACAAAATCAACAGCCTTGTCAAGATAAAGCCACAGTGGACTCTTCTTTATTAATTTTTTTAAGCCATTTGATTTGTCTTAGTCTGTTTAAAGGGAAACGTGACCTTGTCTGGGCTTGCACTTGTTTGTGAACGAGAGCTCATAAATATAACTGGCCTCAATACACATCAAATATGAACAAGTGCAATTAACTATTCACAGTTTGGAAAATAGCCCCCAATTCCATGCAACGTGCCCGTCTGAATTATGCAGAGGAGCAGCTGGTTAACTGTGTCTCCGTCTCTTCCAGGATCTAACCATTTCACCATTTTTTAACATTAGGCAAACAACAATAGTAAGATAGTGCCCGATGTGGACCCATAAAAAATACTATTCATTGACTGTGCCGTTTTTTGTGTGTTTTTGTTGTCCTTGCAAGATTTGAATTGAGGAGGCTTTCATTCCAAGCACTCGCACGGTTTTTCCTTTACAAACTATTAGGTCTGTGTAAATCAGATAAGGGATACAGCTCAGGGCTAAAGTGTTTTGTATGAATGATAAAACACCATTATCTCATTGAAAAGAGGAGTTGGCAACAGACCAATTGGTGCTGAGGACACACTTAGCGGCAGATTCAGAGCAGAACCAGACCTACGCTATTAACAGAAAAAAAAAAAAAAAAAACGAGGGGAATTTGTCCAAGGAGCACTCCAGTTTCTGCTGATGGTGAGTGATTTGCGCCGATAACAAGTGGTTTGATCATTTTTGTGGAGCTACATTAACTGAAGGGGTGACGAGGTGGTTGGGGTGACGGTGAGGTCTTGCTATTCTTGTCGATATAGGAGGAAAAAACTGGCATAACTCATTTTTTCCCCTTGTAGACAACAAAGGCATCAGTATTTTTGACATTATAGGAGGATCTTTGAGTGACGTTGTTGTTTATAGTTAGTCCGCGCCTGTCACGTGACCGGGTGGCAAAACAGCATAAAAAACTACCTGGATGCGAAAGAGTTAGTTAGTTTTCGACGTTTGGAGAGAGGTTTTACTAAATCAAATGGTCCACTCGTGTTGTACGGCCCGCTGGGGCTAGATAACGTTTTTCTTTCTAATTCCTTCGGAAAGGAACAGCAAAAAATGGCTGCAGTAAAGTGGTCCGCATATAAAACAAAGAAAACAAAAATCAGTTTTGTAACTACATTCACTGCACACTTTTTCACTGTGATGATGAATTTCAAACATTGCATTTTGGTTGCTCATCCCCGCGGCTTCCTTTTCCACGTTTACAGTAAGTAACAGAATAAAGGAGCAACCCGCTTTTAATGTGCGGACCACTTTACCGCGACGGTGAACAGTCAGGCCACTTTACCGCAGTGAAAAACGCAAGAAATTGTTTTCACCACGGACCCTTCTTGAGTAAAGGGTCCCAGGTTTTCTATGAAGTAAGAATAAATGTCTCCCAGCAGATCGATGCCAAGACAGAGCCGAGTCTGACCAATGTTTGTCGTCATCCCAGGTCTTACAGTATATGGGCTTTGAATTTGTTCAGTTCGGTCTCATATACATATTTTTAGCTTGTCTTTATATCTACACTGGGCTCCTCTGATCTTCTTACGTTAAAGTGCTAATATACAGTGCTATTCGCCCACTGAGTCTTTTAAAAGTACTCGTCGCATCCATCTGTCTTCACACAGCGAGGGGCGCATGCGCACGCGGAGGTAAACAAAGATCCTCCTATTAGCAAAGCCTCTACAGGTGAAACTCAGAAACTTCAAATATTGTTAAAAAGTTTAAATATGAATTTAACGATTGATTTGCAATTTATTACTGCAATTCAACTTAAAATGTGAAATGTGAATGCAAAGTGATATATACCAAGCCTTTGTTATCAATTATATATTCATTATGGCTTACGCTCCATTCTAATATTCTAATTCTCTGAGATTTTTTATTTGGGGTTTATACAAGCAGTGAGTTGATTATAAAACAATAAACAATGCATTGCTTTTAGGGTTATAAAGAACATGTCATTTTTATTTTAGTGTTGAGGGCACACATAACATGTGTGTGCCATACAATTAATCTAATCAATTTCCATTTCCCTTTGCATGTACTGAGCATGTCATATATTACTTTCACATGGTAAGTTCAAGTACGTAAGCAACCCAACGTTTCAATTATACACATTTTCCGAGTTTCACCTTTTGTTAATTACCATTTAAAAAAACAACATCTAACCCACATTGACAAAATGATCTTAAAACTAACTGACCAGTCCAAACTGTCAAATGTAAAATGTGTGACTGTAGGATATCTGGTGTATTGATTTGCCTGGAAAGGTCAGATATTGATTTGTGGCTATTCTGGAAACCACGGAAGAAACACGCAAACCGTCAGAACGCTCTGACCAAACAGAACGTTTTATATCATGAGTTATTTGATATCTTAGTGAATAAATAAAGCTGATTCTACAACTACTTTGGCTCAATAATTCAGGTTTGGCTATTGCAGAAAGATATATCTTTTAATGAATCAAGGTGGATCCTGCACCAGCCACTCTTCCCCCAGCACAAAGAATCATAAAGTGACTTTTATAAAAAGTATGCCACAGTTAGAATGTTATTAGAAGAAGACAAGACACCTTTCTCCAGGAGTAAATAGAACGTATGCACTTTAGGAACTCCTGCTTTATGTATTTATAGCTGCGGAACTTTTCTGCTTGTCTTTATTAAACAATAAATTCCCCCAAAAAAAAACACAAAATCTGTGTGGCTAACTTTGAGACCATGAATGTAATAGAATCCATGTTCCTAGTTCCTGGCTCTGAAACAGTTTTATCTTTAGATCAGACTTTTTGGTGGAAAAAGAGGGGACCAGCCCTCTCTCAGCCAATCAGCTCTCAGTATGTAAAATATACACTTTTTTTTCTGATAAAGACAGAGTTGTTTACAAAATGTTACTTAAACAAGACTCTTTCCGTTGGAACAGAAAACAATGTATGTTTTGATACAGTAATCCAATACTGAAACCCATCAGAAAAAGTTTTTTGAGGTGTTTGGTTTCATTTTAAATTGAAAATACTCATTTTTCTTTTGCCTTTTTCCTCTGCTTTTCTACTAGCACAATGAGTACCACACTCTTCTTTAGTGGCACCTTCCCTGGATCTCACAGTGAGCCACAATATGGGGACAGAGTGCGTGAAAGCCTAATTGCCGATTTGAGTTTGGTACAAAGCCTCATGGGAAACACCTGCAGACAAATCATTAAAAGTACACAACAGGCTGTCATGGAGTATGACTTTTTAGAAACATTCTAACATTGAATCTAAAGAAACCACATTTCTACAGCGGCAGATTAATTGGATGTCTTTTTTGGAGCAGCCATTTCTCTGTGTGGTGGTTTACTTTGTAATTCACTCTGTATCGAGGGACTGCATGATTGAAAGACAAAATTAGTGCTCTGAAGGGCTTGTCATAAAGTTTTCATATGGCATTCTGCTTCTTTCCTCGTGTTCTTTTAATTAGAATATTAGATTGAGATATTTCTTACGTGGGAAAAATGAAAGAATAATAAGCTTCGACAAATAATCACACAGCCCTATTATTGGTGTAGGTGGGATGTCGTCTTTATCTTTCTTTGTTTCTTTTACTTGTCCCTGTGGGACTGCTTTTAAATAAATGGTTGACAAAATGGAATTAAATACATAAAAGCAGAAAAAATACACACTTTGCGGCTGCCGTCGGCGGACTTGTACGTCAGCATGTAGTTGTCAATTTCAGCCATTGGAGGTTGCCAGGAGATAAGAGCACTGCGGTGGTTCACTTCACTGGCAGTCAGGTTCAGAGGAGCATCCATAGCTACAGAAAACAGATAAGCAGTTATTAGAAAAGAGAAAGTCAATTTGGATACTCCACAGGTCTGGTAGCAGCGTATTCATAGCAAGATCAAAGTCAGTAAATGAACAAACACAATCCAATTACGACTGCATTCTATTGTGTTAGGACGCCAAGCAGGTCTTCATGGAACAAATGGCATTTGCAAAAAAAGTCTCATAGAGATCTGTTATTTACACACTTTACATGAGCTGTAGTGTTAAACCTCAAGAGCCAATCAAATCACACTCTTTATGTCTCTGACTTATGGAAACATGCCAAGGCTCAACTTCACTGCACAGCTCAGACGCCATACAATCCAAGTGCTCATTATATCCTTCAGATCATTAAATACTTGTCTAATGTTGATGGATCATATCAAATGTATATTATATTGTACATTGTGCTTTGTAGCGTCTGATCGTATTGTTTTTTGAAGTTTTTGTTAATTTGATTAAGTTCCTATGGAGGACCAAAACTCCCAAAATATTACATAAATATCAACATTGGCAAATGATTAAGACATCACAAAAAAACTCTGAGATTATTTAACGTCTGTTTTTTGCCCAAAGTGAAAACAAAAAGTCTTATAATGAATTACTGTTTACACTTATTTAAGTTAAGTTATACTTTATTGACCCCGCAAGAACATTTGTCTAAAACATTGGACAGATCCTTCCAATGCCACTCGGGCCTCTGTCAGGAGCAGGGGTCACTCAGAGTCCCATCTTCAGATGTAGAGGTGGGCTTGCTTTTTTCAGCCTGCAGTACTAGGAGTGTTTATGATTAAACCAATGTAAAACAGGGGGAAGTGAACACAGCCAAACAGCAACAAAGTAAACAATCTCAGCTGCTCTCCAGAAAACGTGTCACAACCCACTGAATTATGGGAAATGCAGAGCGGTTTGTAGACCATGCAGGCAGTTCAGTTTGGCTGAATATAGTATTTTTCATCTTTACCACCCTTCACTTCTACCAGAACCTGGTTATACCTTTCCCAAAGTCATAACTTCAACCAACTTGTCTGGTTACATCTGATTGTGAAATAATTTATGTATTGTCAATAAATAAAAATGTGCTTCTAAAGCCATCGATGCAGAGTGAAAATGATGAGCACAGTGGGTCATGACCAGGGAGGGCCAATCTATCCAGGAAGATCGATTGCTTTGGTCTCACTATCCCTACACCGCCCTCTTCATTTGCATTTGGTCAACGAAATCAAGAGCAGAATTATGCAAGCTTTAAAAAATAAAAAGATCCAAAATAAAGTGGTGCAAAAAAAATCAAGAGAATATATTACAGCTTATTTTTTGTTTTCAGCACAAAAAAACGTTTAGTAATAACAAATACAGTATGTTTTAATCTCAGACTTGGTAGTGACATATTAATCATTATTTGCCAGTATGGATATTTACGTATTCATTCATTAGTTTATATTTTTTGGCAGCTTTGGCCGTCCATATACCAGAGCAAAAACTTTAAATATATGAAGGAATCTGTTGAAAAGAAGAGAAAAGAGAAAGTGTGAGTTCAGGCTGGTAGATCTATCCTACGCTCTCTCCTCACAGCCCACTGCTCTTTCCAGTCATGTCCCCACCTACAGCATCACCTGCCAGATCAACTCATCAAACCTCTGCTGGCCTTTTCTCCATAACCTGCAGTGGCATATTACAGCACTTTAAACAGAGCAGCCTCTCCTCACCGGCCAGAGTTTAAAGCAAATACATGCCTCGGTCCGTGCCCCTTAGTGGTATAATCTCTTGTCTGGGTTCATTGCCTCTCCAGTGTCTGCCTGAGACGGTTGAGTTTTTAGCCAAGATCTTATATCGGCTCTCCATCGAAATTCAACGAGCACAAGACCGTGTGGTGAATTTACAAGAAACGCATTATAATCCCCATCATACAAACAATACCCTCCAATTAAAGGGGACAACATATGCCGCATATATTATAGGTGCAGGAGGTGACAGCTGGCTCGGCCACGATTACCCAATTAGATGCACTTGTATGTTTGTATATGCAGACACTGAGTCACAAGTGCTCATTTGGGAGGTGATTCTGACGATGCATTCAAATGTCAAGTGTGCAATGATGAATGCAAGGGTTCAAGTAGGCCTTGTTGTATGTACTGTTCGTGAGATCTAAAAATCTTCTATAGTTCAATTCAATTCTTTTCTTTTTAACATCACATACAGTATTTCACGCACATTGAGGTTGTGTGCAGATCTTTGGGACACAGTGACACAGTGGACAGGCGAGGAAGCTATGCAAAGCTTTTAGTCTGCTGTGTATAATATACTGTAAGTCTATATGGGGAAAGTGCTTCTAATGTCATCCATATTGTTTGCCTCACAACGCTACAGTGAGGCAAACAACACAACAATGAGACAAACAACACTGCAGTGAGGCAAACAACACAACAATGAGACAAACAACACTGCAGTGAGGCAAACAACACAACAATGAGACAAACAACACTGCAGTGAGGCAAACAACACAACAATGAGACAAACAACACTGCAGTGAGGCAAACAACACTACAGTGAGGCACACAACACAACAATGAGGCAAACAACACAACAATGAGGCAAACAACACTACAGTGAGGCACACAACACTACAGTGAGGCAAACAACACTGCAGTGAGGCAAACAACACAACAATGAGGCAAACAACACAACAATGAGGCAAACAACACTACAGTGAGGCAAACAACACTACAGTGAAGCACACAACACTACAGTGAAGCACACAACACTACAGTGAAGCACACAACGCTACAGTGAGGCACACAACACTACAGCTAGGCACACAACACTACAGTGAGACAAACAACACTACAGTGAGGCACACAACACTACAGTGAGGCACACAACACTACAGTGAGGCACACAACACTACAACTCAACACAAAAGTGAGTAGTGGGAGAGAGGCGTTGGGTCTTGTCTGAGTGAGTGCTTTGTGTTGTGTTGAATGACTGAGCATTTGTTTTGTACCACCCCATTTCAAACTGTGTAGTTGTTAATGTTATATACACTAACAAATGTCTGTAAATTACAATGAAATTTCAACATTAAACAAATGTTATTTTGAAAAACAATTCAAATATGCAAATGTTACAGTGAAACAGTCTTTAACCGTAAAAATTAGCAACGGCAATGCCATGTTGAGAAAACGGTAAATCCCTGGAACAATATTTGCCAGCTTTTTACCGTTTTTCAACAAGGAAATTCTTTACAGTGTTTGTTTGAAATGAAATAATTATGACTACCTAAAGTAACAATGCCATTTCCAAACAATTTTTTTAGATATCTATTTTTGGTTAACAGAGGACTACTTTGTAAGTACTTTGTATTGTTTCTATTTAATGTCATAGTTTATTGATGGATAAATGTGTCATGTGTGACTTCTCTGCCCAGCTGAATATAGAGAATGTGGTTTGAAGATGGTGAATTAACAGTTTACAAAGAAGTAAAAAAAAGTAAATCTTTCATCTATTGAAAAACACCCATGTGCTCAGGGTTGACACAAATACAACACAATCCTGAAGTTTCCGTCAATATGAAGCGCTCTCCATGCAGCCGCCTTGAGCTTCTACAAAGCAGCCGTGAAAACTTTCAATAACTCAAGTTTTGCCGAAGTTATTCAGCAATATTCACATTTATTTCTGGGTCTGCCTTGTTTGTGTGTGTGTGCTGTGAGCAGAGGGTGGGGCGGCTCCCGGCTCAGAGAGGACACAGCAGGAGCGGGAAATGAGACACAAACTAGCACAAATCAATGTATTTTTTGTAGTGCTGTCAGTTAAACGCATTAAGAATGGGATTGAGGCAAACCCCTTTTAACTGTGTCAATTTGTCTTTTGCCGATTAACATGAGCACAAATGCGAGGCTGCTCCTGCCCTTGTAAAGTCTATGGAGAAGTGTAGTGGACAGTATAGGCCAGCCAAAGTCCATTGCTGCACACCAAAAAGAGCAGTAGCACATGCAGGTTTCCTGTGTTTCGACTGAAATTCACATCACCGTGCTGCAAAAATATGCGTGGGTCATATTTTGGGCTGATGAGGGCAAGGCTCAGTGTGCGGTGCATAACGTGTGTTTCACATTCCCCAGGCTTCTGAAACCAGCCCCACAGCACCCCACCTGCGAGCCTTTCCTCTTCAAGGGACCTGTGCACTGTGTAGGGAACAAAAATAATAACATAAACCAGAGTTAGTTCCCAGAAAACAAAGAGGGTTGAGAACTGACTCTGGTTTACGCTAGTTTCTCTTGTGGTCGTATTTTTATAGAGAGAAGTCTCGTCTGTAGCTGTTTGTTTGAGGCGATTACCGTTATAAAACCCACCCAGATACAGAACTCTCTTTGGGTTTACAACATCTTACATCATGTTCACCGACTCAACCGGGCTCTTTATTACAGGCCTTTTGTTGACACTTAAACACATCAGTGACTTCAGTTTCCCCACCTTACGTCACCTCTGCTCACTCTGATCTGTTGCTGCTCCCAGAACTATTGACAAGCGCAAACCATATATGAGAGGATAATAGAAAATAGATGACCTTCAGCAGCAGACTGGTTTCCAGGAGTTACATCACGACTCTAGGCTAAGTAAGACGTCTCCACACTTTTGATCCTTTCATCAATGCGAGTCTATAGCTGCAAAGTTCTTGCTAAGGCTATTTTTGCGAGTCCATCCACGTAATGCTAATCTGAGACAAGACACATCCATTCTTATTCCTTTGTCAAAATGTGTGTGCACAAACGGAAAGCCCAGTGACAGCTCCGTAATTAACACTGTGCTCTGCTTCCTTTTGTCTCCATGTGTGGCTCATGGTGACGAGCAGTGAGCTTTGTGCAATTTTGATGAAGAAGGAGGGAGCCAAAATAAAGACTAGGTTATCAAATACAATAATGATAACAATAATAGGAGTAAAATTAAACTTTACTTTTGGTTTTAAATTTCATTTAAAGGGACCGTACGTAATTTGCACTCTTACTGGGAAATTATAATTACTTTTTTGTGGCCAGAATCTTGATCACAGACACAAACCACCTGCTGGGGTTCAGCCAGAAACAGAACAAGCTGTGTGTACTGCTTGCACTATGCTTGTAAATTGAAGAAAAAAACAATAAACAATAACCCTTTAGTTCAGAAAAGCTATTATTTATACATCTGGGGAAACATCAAATATGTCATTCAGCGTGAAGACATTTATATATATACCCCTTATTATGCTGTTGGTTCTTTTCGGTACTGATTATATCCACTTTCCCATTTAACAGGCAGTCTGTTAGTTTCTGTCTGTTTAGTTTCCTTTGTTTTTGGCTTGATGAATGCTGCTTTTGCATTTCTTTCAAGTGGCGAAGGGATGAGAAGTGGATGCCTTTCTCTGAAATCAGGAGCCGCCATTCAACTTCCCCTTGATTCTGCAATTACATCTTTCCCTGCATCACCGTCCTTCTCGCTCGTCCCCATCAATTAAAGCTCGGTGTGGAGCGCGGCCAAGCAGGTGGTCAGGAGTCATCTGAGATCCTGGCGGCAAGGAACAATAGGATTGATATGAATAGGTTTGGCTTTGTTTAATGTCTCATTAACTAAGAGTGTAAACATTGCCACACACAGTGCAGCAGATGGAAGGAGAGCAGTCAGCTTGTATTTGTATCAGGAGGAAGACGCTTATTATAGGGGGCTTCACTTTTTTTCTTGAGAAAGGAGATAATATCCTCCTGTGGACTCACCACCTGCAGAGGATCGGTGAGGGGCTGGTGCTATGAGACTTGGGTGGCATCTCTGATTGCCACCCCCCTGACCCAGAAATGGATTAAAGGGTAGAAAATGGATGGATGGATGGATGGTGATAATATAATATCATATATAATATAGTGTATATACAGTATATGTAAATTCTCACATTTGTCTAAACTTTTCTTCTAAAAACAAAAGTCAAATAATAATCCAACCTCTAGATTTGTCATAATTCAAACAGGATTTCCAGGTTTTAAAATGCAGTTCTGCAGAGGAAAACAGTGCACATGTAGAGGTGAAAGGGCAGTGAGAGTCCCTACAACCATTAAACTGTAAAAATGCCACGATGGTAGAAATATATAATTGAATAATTAAAATGTTGTTCTCACATAAGCAGCACTCACATGGTGAAGAGTGAACTGCCACCTCCCCAGTGCTTAGGAATCGCACACACTCAAATGCAGGCCGACACATGTGAGAGCCTGTGCCCAGTTGTGCTGCCTGGAGGCTCGGCGACACAACGATACAGAAAAAGAGCACATTTTCCAGGCCTAAAGCTTAAATAGCAGCCTTAGGGGATGTGCTGCTGCTCAACTGTGAGGCTCAGGCGGGAGAACACAAAACAGCTCTGGACTGTGCCTAAGAGGTTTGGCTTTTACACACTGAGTAAAGGGGTCTGTGCACAGCGAGACTCCAGGCATGACTATGTTGAAATATTCGAAAAGGAAATTATATGGAAATTCGATTCCTACATACTGTATAAGCAGCAAGGCAGAAAGTATGCATGCTTTGTACAAGGTTATTCCCAACTGGGCAATAAAAAAGTCAATGGTCAGACTATACATAGTTCCCACATGACGTCACTACATACGGGGATTTGCCGACCCGGCACCATTTGTGTTGGCATTCTGTGGGCAAAACAATAGAAAAAGAAGCTGAAACGTGTTAATGTCGTGATGAAGTTGAAAATGGTCATCTCCTGCTGGGTCAATGGATGTTCAAATCGTGCCGGAGGTTCCGTTAAACTTGGATTTTACAGTATACCCATCATTAGACTTCATGAATGTGAGAAGACTAAGCTTTTGTCAGAACAACCACGGAGGTTATGGCTTGCGAAGATAAACAGGCAAGAAACTCCCTCAAAACACGCAAGAATATGCTCGGAGCACTTTGTGTCAGGTGCGTATCGTATCTTATAATGTGTTGACAGACGTAATTTACTCAGTACTAACTTGTGTATGCTGATATCTGGTAACTTGAGAGTTTCATTATTTAGATTACTTTATTATGAGGAGGATCGGTGTCGCGTCCGAGGCTCTCGAGGGCAACGTAAATGTATTAAATAGATAATAATAGTTCTATGGTGGGCTAAAACAATGTTCACAAACAGCATTGCTTCTGTAAAAAGATCTGTGTCATAAAATAAACTGCTCTTTACGCCTGGAAAAATCAGTTGCCCACCATTCACCAAAACATACGGTCAAAAACGCGGAAATAAACAATAACAGCAATCCAGAGTGTCCATGTGGCATTAGCATTAATTAAATTAATTGTTAATATAATTAAAATAATTAAATGGAGCTCCAACTGGTATTAAATCTAAAGTTTTTGAGAAATGTTTGCATTGCTTGTTAATTTTTGCTGCATAATTTGATCAAATATGTAAAACATGTCCGTAGCACGTTAAACTGTGGTGCCATTGTATTAATATACAATTATTTGCTCAAAAGTTGCCCTTTTTTTCCAATTTGCGTTTGAATATCTACATTTATTCTCATTCTTCTGTTTAATGGAATGCACAAACACAGCAGCGTGCCATCAAAGATGGCGTCTCCGAGGAGGTCATGTGACATTCATTGGTCTGTGGGAACTATGTATAGGCAAAATCCTCCATCTCATCTTTCTGGACTCTTAAACGCTTAAGGCCACAACAGGTTCAAAAGAATATCAATATGCTGAGTCCATAACGAAGGATTCAAGGTACAAAAAAAAGCAGGACATTTTGACTTTCACACAATATTTTTGTTTTCAGGGTACCATAAATCCTGTCCAGATAAAACCGTCTGATCATTCTCTCGGCCAACCACGCATCACAAAACTAACTTCAAACACATATTTATTACTGAATATACTTGATCCTCAATAACAATTTTGATGGCAGTTTAGATTGACATTTTTTTGAAAATATATTTTTATTATTAACTAAATTTATACAAGTTCTTCTTATACATTGGTTTAAATTGTATGGAAAAATAGTTAAGAAAAATTCCTAGTTTGTGACTTCCTATTACTTGCAATAGTAAATATTCTGATTCTGTTTTTGCGCATACCGAGATTTCTTAAGGCTTATTGCAGAAATCTCTACTGATCATAGTACTGATCTTGAAATGTTAGGGAAAGGTTCAAAACAAGTACAACAAAAAAAGACATCTACAAAGCACAAAGTAAAGCACAAGCCCACAGCAGCAGCAGCTCACTCCATCACTTCAATCCTAATATTGCATCGCTTTCATCATGTATTTGAGATTTCCTACAGCAAATACTTTCTCCTTTGAAAAGATGTAGATGCCCCATGCACTTGACAAACTACTCTCCAAATGAGAAAAAACAAAAACAGCCAATGCATGTTCATTTTGTTTTAGACCAATGCTCCATATTCAGGCACTCACTGCTTTTGAAGTCTTTTGTGTGGATTTGCCAGTGCAGCAGAAGAGGACAGGTAACTTCCTCTTTCCCCAAGGAATACAACTACAACATACCTCTGCTGACTATGTTTTTCTTTCTACCCTTCAAAGAACAAAGTTTACAGGGTACTTCAACTCATCTAAAGTAGAGCAGCCCCACTTAACCCTGGAAATAGCCAATAGAGACAGAACTGAACAATCGCGTCTCCAGAGCTATATAATGTTTCAGGTTACATAGGGGAAAATGATGATTCCTTTCTTCCTGACCTGTGTACAACCTCTGAGGATTTACACCAACACCTTGAATACATTTCATGTTATGTATTCAGAAAGGTAGATGTCTCTGTTGTGAGATTAATAGAGTTTATCCTATTTTTATCTTGTCTTAATTAATGCAAGTTAATTGCAACACGTTAATTGATTCATCAAAACTAAGCAATTATTGAAATGATCAACTAATTTAGTAACTGATCAATTGTTTTTTTTACCACCAATACCTGGACCAAAACCTGCCTTTGGTATAGAGTTTGAAAAAGTATATCTAATCAAACAACCAATTATGTTTCATCTGCTCCCTATCAAGATGTTCCTGAGGGGCATCGATTTAGCTTTGTTTTGTATCGAAACATTTTAATGGATTTAACCAATCAATTGATCAACAGAATAATCACAAAACTAATCCTTATAAAAATAGTTCATAAATACAGTCATATTTTTTTTATATAAACACTGTATTCTCAATCTTAGTAGTTTTCTACAGTGCCCAGGACCCACCAGGAATCCAAAACAGCCCACTTTTTCCCTTTCAGTATCATGACTTTCTTTTGAAGCTTTTTAACAGCATTAAAAAGCTTCATGGCATTACAAATGCAGAGGTAATTATGAAACAGTATTTATTGTATGAGATTAACTTATATCATATCATAACTCTGATTATGGACCCTATACGCCAACTATTTCACATTCATACCCAAACTGTTTATTATTCCAAGAATTGTGCAGGAGAGGAATAAAGCTGTCAGGAGGGGCCCCTCGTGGCAGATGAGGTCATTTGAATTCCACACAGAAAAGCAGCAGACAGACGACCCTGTTACCACGGCCCCCAACTGCGGCCGGGGCAGTTCTTCCATGTAAATACGTACGCGTTTGGAGGTTAGTGATGACTGTTCCGCTGGTTAGAGGTCCCTTGGTGGCATACAGGGCCACAGAGTAGGTGGTGCTCGGCTTCAGGTTGGACAACTGATGCTCCTGCTTGGTGCCTTCCACCAGGAATGTATCCGCTGTAACTGAAAGACAGATAGATATATATGATATGAATATGTTTGTTATGCTGTGTACAACTGTCACCCCATCCCACACACTTAACACTGCTATTTCAAAAGATAAAAACCACCCTCTAAAAACACAACGCAACGCTACTATTCTTAGAACCGTTTTCACCTTTGGGCTCTTTTGTAGTTCAAACGAATCCTACACTTATTATGCTTTTGGAGAAATTAGCTCCAGGGTACTGAATGCTATGTTAAAGTGGGAGTAACTAACTTTTTTGATTTCATAAATAATTTAGTTAATCTCAAGAGAAATGTTAAGTTACATTTCATGAACAAATCAGGGCACAACATGCTTTCCTTATCCTTTTAGAAAATATACATAAACATATCTATTACATAGAGGATGCTGATTGGCTGATCTCTATTAAGCTGAACAAGCTTTGACAACGCAGAACTCGAAATATGGATTTGCTTAAGTAGACATTGTTTCTTTAACCTTTTTGACCAAAAGTGGTTCTGCACTCTCCTCAGGTTTCCAGATACTGTATGTGCACGTATTCAGCTGGGACCAAAATAGCTGAATAGACAAGAGTTTTTTGTCAACAACAAATCTGTAACTAGGCCTGTCACGATAACAAATTTTGCTGGACGATTAATTGTCTCAGAAATGATTGCGATAAGCAATAATATTGTCGTTCTGAGGTCATTTTCACCTAATACAATGATAATGATGCAGGTACACCTTTTCAAAGAGAAACTTTTCTAACAGCTAGCGGCTTTTTGTGTAAAGTTCTTGCCAATAATGCAGCTCTGCAGTGTCTCTTTGTCCAGAGACCTTCCAGAGACTTTATATAACAGCAGTATGTGTTCACGGAGGTGCGTCATAAGTTTATTTCATTATTAAACGGTACGTCCGCATCGGCGAACACGCTAACGCTAGCTGCGCTAGTTTAGTCACTACTAGAGCCTGAATGAGAACAACTACTGTGTCCCCCATTGTCAATCCTGGTTAAGTCCTGGTTTAGTTCTGGTTTATTATCAAGCTCATTTAAATTTTGATGCGGTTTATTGATTTATTGAATATCGCGACAGGCCTATCTATAACCAACACCTATTTCACAAAGGCCCTGGTAGAAATCCTGGCTTTATTCCTTGTTTTGTCATTATTAATTTGAGAATCAATGAGATTAGCTCAACACGGTGGGTTCTGGCAACCCGGATCACACACTTTCTGACTGGTAAAACGGCGGGACATTGAAATGAAAACAATATCAAGAATTAGGGGCTGTAAATTAAATTTTGAAATTGGAATATCTCGGCTGAACTACTGTTATCAGTTAAAGTATTGTAAAAGAGCATGGTTTATTAATTCCTTTTGACATATTAGGGCCATTTAATGATGACCTGACATGAGAATAATTACAAAAACTAAAAATATGAACAGTCAACTCTCCATCGAGATTTGACTAACTAATTTATTGGAAAAACTGCAGTGGTCTAAGAGCGTGAATATCTCCATTAGGAATTTGCGAGGAAGGCAATTGTGTGAATGGTTTAATGTCTTTGTCTTGTAGTGTTTTATTTCATTTGGATGGTAATGAGAGTTGCTGCAGATTGCTTTTGCGAATTGGCTGTGAGTGATTGCAGGATTTTGTGACCTGCCATCTGTCCTCTCCGAGCGCATATACTTCACACACAGTCCCGCTTGTTAATTCTGAGCACTATTCTGGAGACACCAGCAAACCATATTTCCTCCTGATAGGCTATTAATCTCTTTATATGACGGCTGATTGACTGATAATAGCGTTGTTTGGATTTTATGACAATGTTTCTCGATGATCATCATATGTCATTCATCACTGGCTATGATCTGACCCGAAAGGACCGACTTAATGATCTCGCCAAAACAGGCTTCCAGACAGTCTGAGATAGTCTGTAGAGCTGAAACATTTGACTAGAAATTTGAAAAAGCACATTTTCGATTGTCAATTGTGTTGTGTAGCCTATGCCATTTTAGAAAGGCTTGTAATGTATGAATGAAAATGAGTGAGTTCAAAACATAACTTAGATTTACAACATACATTTCATTTTCAATAACTAAATATCAACTTGAAAAATGTATATATGGTTGTATTTTTTGGTGAGGTAAGTTTGTAATGTGTGTTCACCTGCCCAGGGACTACTGATGGAAAGTAAATGTTCTATAAACAATAAAAAAAAGAAAACTAAGTTATTGGTGACACATTAATTTGGTTTAGATTTTGTTTATAGAACAGGGACTTTGTACAATGTTAGATGGTTTCACATTGAAAACTTGACTTTAAATTCCAGATGCATGCAGTTTAAGTGCTTCACTGCAATCTGAACTAATGAGCCGTCTTCTACTATATATAAAAGTGTTACATTACCCAATCAATATTCTGCTCGCTCTTCCCACATCTAAGAACAATCTCACACCACATCAATACAAACGAGACGCAGAAACAACATAAGTGCGCCCCCTATTATGAAGAGATGCATATAAATAAATATCATATCCAATCCAGGCTGAAAAAACCCAATACTGACCCTGATTGTGTGTGAGGGTCAAGACGTAGTTGTCCACACTGGAGACCGGAGGATTCCACTTCAACACTGCTCCTTGTGGCGTAATGTTTATCGCTGCCAATTCAGACGGCATGTCCATAGCTGCAGCAGATAGAAGGACAGCATATGAACAAGTGGCTTAAAACATGAAAGCAAAGTTCAACGAGTTATTCTATTTGACTTCTGAGCATAAAGTGGTAGGACTTCAAAGGATGCTGGGGCAGACGTCACACCAGACGCTTCACACATTCCTCATGCCTCTTTTCTATAGTATTTCACATAATGGTGGATTTTTATTTCAACTCAAGTATGCTGTGTATGAGTGGAGAGCTCAGGTCAATGCCGTTATCTTCATGGCACAATCCTTAAGCCGCAGATGCTCCCGGTAGAGCGCCTGTGGGACCAAAGGAGCGTGCGATACGTAACTAACAGCTCCTAGCCCTCTTCTATGTGCTTTTTGTTTTACCTAAAGTATGTACAAGGCGGGTGGTAAGTGATAAGCATGCTCCCTTCTCAGCAAAGAAGGTCCTAGGATTGATTCCCGGAGAGAACAGGCCTTTCTGAGTGGAGTTTGCATGTTCTTCCTGTGTCAATGTAGGGTGCCTCCAACTGCTCTGGGTTCGTTCAGGTGCTTGAGGTTTTCCCTACCACTAAAAATATGTACAATACTGTAGGTAATAACCTCAAGCTCTGGTCCTGACCAAGGCGAGCATTAACATATGGAAATGAGTTACCGCTGTACTACTCCTGGCAGGTTGTCCTAAGTCCTGGGTCATATGCTGAGTACATATTACCCTACAGGGACAATAAAGTAAAAAGAAACTTGATTGTCTTAATAAAGTGGTGGGTTATCAATGTCTATAATGCCATGATCACAGAGAAATTCATTTGTTTGGAGAATAAGCCTCTAGAGCAGGGGTGCTCAATACGTCGATCGCGATCTACCGGTCGATCGCAAAGGTAGTATTGGTAGATCGCATTAAATAAATGAAAAAATTACACATTCTAAACAAATATATACAAAAAACTCCGGGCAAAGTGGAGATTTTTGAAAACTCCGTTAATGCATTTGTGTGTAGTCAGAGATAACCGGAGTTTTGCGTTCTCGCACGCCACAGTACCCCCCTAAATTCCTCTGATCACTGAAGCATGGATCATACTACCTTAAAAACTGTTCGCTGTGAGATGCTCGCAGCAGCGAACATCCTCGCTCCACATCAGAGAGCAGCAAAGTGATCGCGGGGACTCACGCTCGAAAACAACCAAACCAGAACTAAACCAGGACTAAACCAGGGCTGAGGACGGGGTCAGTGCTTGTAAACATACGTCTTTACTCTGAGTGTCTTCTATGACTGTAAAAGTGCCCTTACCGGCGTCTGCATCAAAGCTCCGCCCACTTCTGTGTTTTTCCCCAACGCAGGACAGGACGTAAGAGACGCACATGTTTGGAATGTTACAAATGTGATTGATAACGCAGATGTGTGGATGCAAATTATTTTATAAACTGAGGAGGGGAAATATTTGGATTTAAAAAAAATAGGCATGGCACATGGACATGGCACCACAGTCAAATGACATCTGTGTTTTACTCAGTAATGTTTTACTGACACTAAGGTGACTGCACATGCGCAAACAACCGCTCAGTGCAGGAAAGCTAAACCACGACAAACTTGTCAGCGAGTTACCACCAATTTTCCGGACTATGCCTCCCTGGCCGATTCAATTCAGTGCAAGTCATCAGAGTAAACTCGGGTAATGACAAAAAATGTACATAGGTAATTGTGTTGTGTTGTGCTATATTGGCTCATGCGGTTTTGCATGTACATAAACATACATTGTAGATATAAAGAATATTTTTTGAAATAAATATATGATTTGCATTTTTGTAGTAGGTAGATCATTTTGACTTGATCCTTTTATAAGTAGCTCGCATGCTGAAAAAGTGTGAGCACCCCTGCTCTAGAGTCTAGTTTTCAAGGGGGTCCTCAAATTTGCACAAAATGGCAAATGCAGTAAGGCAGACAGTAGAGCAAACAATATAACAGAAATTCATAGAAATCATACAAAAACAAAAGACAAAGGACACAAATACATCCACCCACTCTCTCTCACTCACACACACACACACACACACACACACACGCAATCCAGAGTCTTAGGCTGAGTTTACACGGAGACAATGTGGCAGTAAAACGGTATAGTTGGATGTCGGTTTCTACCAACCGTTCATACGAAGACTGTGTTCCAGGGGGGTCAAAACGTAAGTGTTCAGATCCAGCCTGCAGAGTGGGACAACTCAGAAACGCTGCACAGCGGGGAGCTCTTTCACACCCGTGAGAGGGGAAAAGGTGTGAAATCCCCCTCTGCTCTGACCCCCACCTCCGCGCTGCTCCCCGCACGTAAATTTGGACATGCGCAGTAGCGGAGAACAAACATCAACAACAATGGCGGCGGTCGCACTAACTAGCTTCGTGGGCTTCCAGCGGGACAGAGGAAGATTCTACTCCTACGTTCGTCCAAACGAGACCACGCGAAGCTCTAGGTTCAGTTTCCATCTTCACAGCTGACGTTAAAATGCAGACTGATGTTGGTGCGTTCTGAGTGTCTGGCACAGGAAGTGAGTATACTGCCAAGAGGGGGGCTGGGCACGGGGCTGGGGGTCGTGTGTCGTGTTGTAAAGTTTCTCTGCCCACTACTGGCCGGGCGCTAGAACTACATCGTTTTTCAACCTCATGTGAACGCTGAGAAATTTGCATTAGGAGCCAGGTCGTTTCTGTTAATAGCCTGGAAACGTCTGCGCAGCGTCTCAGTATAAACAGAGTAACTTCAGTATTTAGTGTTTTGAACAAGTGTTTGAACACAGAAGTATCATCTCGGGAGCAGAGGGTGTGACGAGGCAGCTTTCAGAGAAGGGCTGTTGTCTTGGTGTGAAACGAAGGGACAATGCAGTCGAATCACCTACACAATGTTATCACTTCAATGTACTCTGACTATTAAGGTAAAGACCCTCACTTAACTTTTTGGCACAGTTATGGCACAAATTAACAAACAAACTCAGCTGATCGCATAGCCTCTCTCGCTCACATTCGCACAGGTAAGATACGACATCACCAATCATGTAGTAGAGAGGACTAAGGAGAGTACTTTTAACACATGGAACACTATGATTGGTCGATATTGAGGTCGGTATTTCTTTGAGCTTTGTTTATTTTGTGCAGATGTTCATATTTTATTTTGGTTGTTTCTGTCCTGGATCTGTCTGTGGGTTTATGTTTGTTCTTTTCTTCCTTTTACAAATAAAAAATGGATAACAAAAATACATTATGATTTCTGGGAAGAAATCTAGGAAGCTGGAATTGTAAAGATGGTTTTATTTATTTGGGGTTTGTTGTAAAGCTAGATTCAGAATATTGGTGAGCTGTTTTCACACTCTCAGCACGAACACTGGGCTTAAAGTGGTTAAATGGTATAATGATAAGTTAACCTTGATAAGATAATGATAAGTTAACCTTAATACCATAAGGTATGGTAATGGTTAAATGATAAGCTTAAATGAGTGAGCCACAGTAAACAGAGGCAAAAATATGCAGTGCCCAGACAAGGACATGCATATTTAACAACTCTCCAGTCCACAAATGTTGCGGGAGCTTTATTTTTGAAACTTTTTTGACGGATACAACTTTCGACACATTTCCTATTTTAAATAAATGTGTCGCAGCGAACACACAGGCAAAGGCAGAGAAACGCCAATCAAACCTGTGACTTTGTTTACAGGTATTACAATTCTGTCTTTATATGTGGTTCTGCTAAACAACAAAGGAAGACGTCACGAGATGTTTGTATTTTGATTGAAGTCACTTTTTTTTTTAAAACACCTTATACAAGACTCAATTGTTTCTTTGCCATTTCTTGTTGTGCAACTTAAAATAATGTCTATGTAAAAAGTATAAATTAGGTGAGGCTTTATGGAAAAAACAGCAACGGTCTCAAAGTCAAAAACAGGGACACATTTTGACTGCAGAAATTCATGGAACTAATTGGTGAACAAGGCATTTATCTGTATGTTTTTTGTATAACATGCTTAAAAGCAACAGTGTGACAGTGGCTCAGTTGGTAGAGCATTGTCCTTAGAGCCTGAAGGTCGTGGGTTCGAGCCCACCATAAGACCTACTTCACAACTCCTACTGATGTCTGCTGTAAGATCAAGGCTCCTGTGGACTCAGCACTCAGTGAGGGGCTGGTACTGGGTGCAGCTCTGACTGCCATCAACCCTCTCCCCCCCCACCCACAAATGGATTAAGGGAAAAAAAATGGATGGATGGATGCTTAAAAGCTAAACTGGATTTTGCATAAAATGTCTACTATAAACAATAAAGTCCAACATTTACATCCCCAGTCTGGAGCGGTGAGGCCAAAGGATCTCTCAGGACCCCCCAATAACCCTTCACATTTTATTTTAAATAATATTTTCCAATTTAAATTTAAACCATACGCATTATTAGTTTCTAAAATCAATATTTGTGTTTCAATTCTAATTAAATGTTTGTTCAATTTCTTCCTAAATTCCTTGTTATGTGGACTACCTTTAGAGCTCCACCGTAGCAGGTTTGAGAACTCCCAGAGGGCCACAAACCCCACTTTGGGAATCACCCATCTAGTAAAAATTCTATTGTTTTAATGATAATTGTCAATTCAAAACCAATTAGGTGTTATTGTAATCAAATTAGAAGAAACTACCCATTTGTAACAGATAGTGAGTCTATGTCGATCACAGTTTATTTCCCCTTAAGAGGAGCGAGTTCAGTCTAACAGCCTCCTTTCCCTCCGGACACCAGGCTTAATCCCATTCAGTCACTCCTGGACAAACTGAAATATAGTTTGAATTAATTATACCTTTAACCTCGGCATTTCAACCTCAATTTCTCCTCAGGCAAATGTTTCTGGCAGACGACAGGAGGACACAGACTAGCCATGTGTCTCCAAATCTTAGATGAGGTAATTCACTCTGCCCTATCCGCACCACAATAAAGTGAGACTGACTCTCATTAGTGAACAAAGCAGTGTTCTTATCACTAGAATAAATGAGTCAACTTAATTATAAT